ACGTCGGTGAGCATCTTGGGTCAGTAGTAATGTTGCTGCAGCTGTTGCTGTCTTTTCTCCACCCCAATATGCCCCAAGTAACTCCATCATGTGCCTCCTGAAGCATTAACTCTTGTAGCAAGGTGTAGCCTAGTACCCAGATGCGGTCGGAGCCAGCTTCTTTGTTGTAAACCCCTCTTGCTGCTCCATACTGCTGCAAATTTCCTCCTATGAAAAATGGGTCTGTCTGGCAGCCGTGGGTAAAAAGTCATGTGAGCAATGGGCTAGTCTGGGTGAGTAGTATGGCATGTATCTAGGCAGTCGTGCGGGTCAGTGCGTCAGCAATGCTTGAGGCTCCTTTTTTATAGGTGACTGTGGAATGGAAGTTTGACTCGAGAAATTCGAGCCAACGGACCTCTCGTGGATTGAGGTGGGGCTTTGTATGGAGGTACTGTAGTAATTTGTGGTCCGTCCGTACTGTCACATCGGCGCCGGTCAAGTAACAGCGCCATACTTTGAATGCATGCACGATTGCGAGCATTTCGCAGTCGTGTATCGGGTAGTTCTTCTTGGGCGGATGCAGTTTTTGTGATTCGTATACGATGGCCTGTAATCCGTTGCCATAGCCTTGTAGCAGTACTACTCCGATGGCGATGTCGGTTGCGTCTGTAATTACTTCAAATGGGCGTGTGGGTTAGCGATGCGTAGTACGGGCGGTGAACAGAGAATATTTTTCAGGGCAGAGAAGGCAGCATGCTCTTTTTCACCCCACGTAATTGCGACCCCCTTCCGCTGTATGTCTGTTAGTGGGGCAGTTAAGCATGCCATATCGGGGACGAGCCCGCCTACGTAATTTACGAACCCTTCAAAACTCTCCAGCTCTGTGATGTTTGTTGGGGGGTTCCAAGCTTTCACTGTGTCTAACTTCTCCGGGTCGATCTCAACCCCAGCCTCCGAAATAAGGCGACCTTAGAGATGGTATCCCGAGGTCAATGTGGCTAATTAGACGCAGTCAACTGCACGTGGTCGACTTGGCGTCTGTGCTGTGCGCGTGGCGGTGGACGTCGCACCAACCGACTACGAGAACCAGTGAAGTAGGTGCGCTGCTGTCATGTGGGTGCAACGCTGGATAGCCGCCTTGCTGCAGCGTTGGCACTTCATCGATTTGTAGCGTTGGTGAGCCGCCTTTCTACTGCAATGGAGAGGTGCAGATATTGCAGCGCTGGAACGCAGTCGACCGTGCTGCGTTGGAGGTCAGCCTGCTTATGCGGTCGGCAGACTTGCATCTGATGTAGTCTACTTTGCCAACTTTTTTTCTACTATTGTGTGATTCTCTTGCTAGGGGAACTCGTGCCCTTTTGTCCCGTGAACACGCAACTGCTAGAGAAACACGCAAGGAACGCTGCGATCACTCACACAACCGTGCCTTCCCTGTAGTCTAGCTCCCGTTGTAGAGTTAATCTCCACATTAACTATCACACACTTATAAAAAAGCGTCCTTCAAGCTTTGTTCGTAGTCAACTGAAACGTTGCCGGCGCGTTGGTCAGACCGAATGGCATAACTATGTACTCGTATGACCCCGTACCTAGTTCTGAAAGCTATCTTGGCACAAACTGTCAGTTGGACTCTAATCTGGTGGTAATCGCCACGTAAGTTGATTTTCGAGAACACCCAGGCTGTTTGCAGTTGGTCAATTAGTTAGTCGACGCGGGGAATGGGGTATTGACTGTTAACCATTCCAGTGCACGGTAGTCGATGCATATGCAAAAACCTCTCTTTTTTCGGGGTGAACAATATCAGAGTAGTGAACGGCGACGAACTCGGTTGAATGAACATTTTCTCCAGTAAGTAATCAAGCTGCTTCCTCAGTTCGTCTAGCTCAGGCTGTGTCAGTCAGAACTGTCGTTGTACAGTTGGTTATGCGGTGGTTGTGCGCTCGCTCAGGTGGCAGTCCCTCCGGAAAATCGTCAGGGAAAATCATTGGGTACCGTTTGTCCAACTTGGCGAATTCCTCCCTTCATGGAAATTCGTTTCTACGCGATACGTCGGAGGAATGCTACCCGAGTCTGCGCTAGTACGCTAGCAGTACAACACTAGTCCAACACTGTTCGAGCCATAACTTTGTAGTGGCAGAACTTTTCGTGAGGCAACTTGGCTTTTTTTAGAGCTCTTGGAGCGAGCTTCGATAGAGAGAATTCTCAGCTTAAACCGATTGACGGTCTGCACGATACGCTGCGCGACGTTTAAGGTGCTCTTGCTATTTTGGCTAAGTCATTCTTGACCCTTCTCTCCACAAACTCGGACCCGAGGATAGGGGCTGGTCTTGTACCAGGCACCCAAGGACCCTTGGAGCTGATCCCGAGGAGAGGTTTTAAGTTTGATTAAGTCTTAGTAGCTAGAGTTTATTAGGCCATTACACCAACAGCGATCGGAGCAAGAATGAGAAAGATATGATCGTGGGAAATTTTTGTGATGTGGCAACTTTGGGAATTTGTGGGGTGACTCAATATGGGGTATAGACTTTTGGGGTTTAAGGAATTCGTCACCATCACTATAGTTGCTGCTAAGTGGATGGGAGATGCCAAGCCAGGTTGGCAAGTATAGCCAAGTTGGGTGAGGTGGAATTGAGAGGTTGGGAAGTATGGGATGAAGGTTGGGTTCCTATAGGTTGGGTTCTTGATAGCATATGGGATTTTCCTGGTTGGGACTCCTTAGGGACCTTCTCTCTCGTCCTCCTCATCCCCTCCTACCTGGTTTCTAGCTACTCGAATATGCGGAGATAACTGCTACAACGGGAGCTAGACTACGGGCTAGGCACGGGTGCTCGTGTGATCTCTGCGTTCGTTAGTCCTTAGTCGTTTTCCTTGTGCACACACTACTTGCTTGTTCACGGGGAAAATTGGCAAGAGTTCCACTAGGAAAAGTTCAGAACAATGATACAATGAAGTTGGCATAGCAAGACTACATCAGAGCAAGCATTCAGGTCGGCCAACTGCCAGCGCAGCTTGGTCGACCGCGTTCCAGCACGACTTGGTCGACCGCGCTCCAGCAAGGCAAGGTCGACGGCGTGCCAACGTCGCAGGTTGACAGCGTGCCAGCATTGCTTGCGCAGAACAGCAGTGCACCCGCTTCGCAGGTGCGCGCAGATGATTGGCGTGCAGAGTCTCGTCACCTGCACAGCGCACACACCACGTCAAACAGCAGTGCACCCGCTTCGCAGGTGCGCGCAGATGATTGGCGTGCAGAGTCTCGTCACCTGCACAGCGCACACACCACGTCAACCTCGTGCTAACGACTGCTTCTGATCGGCCACGTCGACCTCGGGATACCACCACCGAGGTTGGGCTCGCCAACTTCGCCTGGGCGACCGTCGCACTCCTCCGCAGCACTTCGTCACCCAAGTAACCTGGTCGACCGGGTAACCACGTCGACCAGCTGCTCCCGAAGTTGGCGTCACGAAGTTGACGCCCCGCTACTCGACGCCCAACTGCTCGGCGTCCTGAGTCGAGGTCGATGTCGGCCCCTCCTTCGTCGACCACCAGGTCCAGTCGACCACCCGCAGGTCGACCAGCAGTCCGTCAGCCGACCACCGAAGTCGGCTTCCCCAAGTTGATGTCACCAAGTTGACGTCCTCCGCATGTCGACTCCCAAGTCGACCCCCCCCGAAGTCGGCGCCACCCTGGAGTCGGCGCCCGTGCAGTGATCCCCGTGCAGGTCGACCTCCTCGTCAACCAGCTGGCCCACTGCTGCAGGTCGGCTGCTCCCCTCACCCCGACCACGATGTCGGCTCCGCCCAAGCGAGGACGGGGCCAACACACAACTCCCGTTGACAGAATATTCTTTGTGGTTCTTGTGTGAACAATTGTGATTGAGTTAAGTTTCAGCTACAGCATATCCCTTAGGGCGCCAAAATTCAGAACTCAAGAAATGCTTCATCTTTTGATATGGTTCAAATTGGAGCTTGTAGCCACGGTGTAGAGCTACAACATATCCAACATTGGAATGCTTGTCAACGACGTTTCTTGTGAAGTCGGCAATTCTGTCCGGAAACTTAGTCCAATGATTTTGAGATATTTCGGCCCATAATCTTCATATACTCCGTCCTTCATCTCTAACACAATGCATGGCTGGCAACACCTGGCGGGCTCTAGCAACAGTAGCCGTTGTCTTGCACAGCCAGCAGCAGCTGCCCCGTAGTAAGCCGAGGATGAATCTCTCGCAGCTCAAGCAAGGCCTGAATCTTCTGCCCTTGATCCAGTTTTGCTCATAACTCTTATTAACCTCAATGCACACCACACTATGATGTTTACGTCTTCACCCACGCTGTTGTGTTTCACTCCCCCTGAAACCAGCAGGTACACTCATATCAATGGTGCAATATGGGCTGGCCTATAACAGATATTCTAGTAAGATTACTATTATTATCCCTATTAAAATAGCCATTAAGACAGCAGCTGCTGGAGCACGACTGCAGCAATTGTTGGTGAACTGCAGGGGCGACCAGCTGCAGTCGCCAACCACCAAAAGACTTCTCCTCACTTCCCTTATCTTGCTTGCTAATGGAACAGTAGGTTTTCTCATGATCTTGATGTCTTGACTGCCTTGTTGATGAACTTCAAAAGTGAAAATGAACTCCCGAATAATTGTTCTTTTGACCAGGGTTCCCCAAGTTGACGTCACCAAGTAGACGTCCTCCGCAGGTCGACTCCCAAGTCGACCCCCCCGAAGTCGGCGCCACCCTGGAGTCGGCGCCCGTGCAGTGATCCCCATGCAGGTCGACCTCCTCGTCAACCAGCTGGCCCACTGCTGCAGGTCGGCTGCTCCCCTCACCCCGACCACGATGTCGGCTCCGCCCAAGCAAGAACGGGGCCAACACACAACTCCCGTTGACACTCCCCTGCCGCGTTCACGCTTGGGCCCCCAGCCCACACGGCGGTACTCCTCGGAGAAAAGCTCGTCGACATGCACCCAACACACAGCACGCCGGTCATCGCACCAGCCATGCAAGAGGGCATGGCACCTACTGCTGCACGGCGTCAACTTCGTCACCCACGTTGGCCAAGCGCACCTGGCCGATGGCGACGGAGCACCGGCTGAAGGCCGGATAGTGCAGCGCCTTCGTCAGGAAGCCGGCCGGCTGCTCAGCGGTCGGGATGTACTGCAGCGAGAACTTCCCACGCTTCACCATGTGCTGCAGCCAGGCCTGTCGCCGCTCCATGTGCTTGAGGTTGCCTGTCAACCCCATGCCCTCGGCGACCGTGATGGCCGACTTGTTGTCCACGCGCAGGACAGCCGGCTTCCCGGCATCCAGCTGCCGGAACTCAGCGAGGAGGAAGCGAAGGCGGCGTCCCTCCTTGCCAGCTTCAGTGGCCGCCACGTACTCTGACTCGGTCGACGACAACGTCGCGCACTTGATGCGCTGGCTCGACCAGGAGACTGCAGCCCCTCCGTAGACGAACACGTAGCCGCCCGTGCTCGTCCTGTTCTGCTTGTCACCAGCGTCGTCGGCGTCCACGTAGCCGACCAGCTCCAGCGACTCAGGTCCACCGCCGAACTCCAGGGCGGTGTCACGTGTGTTGGCGAGGTAGGCGAGGCAGCGGTCGACCTCGCGCCAGTGCTGGTCGCTCCTCACCGTGAGGCCGCTCCCCAGCTTGCTGCAGGCGAAGGCGATGTCCGGCCTCGTCGTCGTCGCCGCGAACTGCAGCGAGCCGACCTTCTGCCGGTACTCCTCCTCCTGCCGTTCCTGCGCCTCCTCGTCGTCGAAGGTGAGCTCGGCGTAGGCGCCGACCGAGACCGGCGTCTTCAGGGTGCGCTCGGTCTGCTCCTCGTCGATGAAGCGCCTACGCAGCTTGTCGGCGTAGCCCTGCTGGTGCAGCCACAGCTTCCCCGCCGACATGTCGCGCACGATCTCCAGCCCGAGGTAGTTCTGCACCGGCGAGATCTCGCGCAGCTCGAAGGCGGCTTCCAGCAGCTCCTTCAGCTCCTTCAGCATCGCGGCGCTGCTGCTGGCGGCAAGCAGGTTGTCGACGTAGACCAGCACCCAGCAGGCCACGCCACCCTCGCCGACCTTGAAGTAGAGAGCCTCGTCGACCTGGCTCTTCTTCCACCCGGCGCCGACCAGCACATCGTTGAGCGCCAAGTACCACAATAGCGGCGACTGCTTCAGCCCGTACAGGCTCTTCAGCAGCTTGCACACCCGGTCGGTTCCGTCGTTGAAGTAGTCCGGTTGGGACATGTACAGCACCCGATCGAGCTTGCTCTGCAGGAAGGCGTTCTTCATGTCGAGCGGCATCAGGTTAAGGTCGAGGACGGGGACGATGCTGAGGAAGATCCTCAGCGTGACGTAGCTGCCCACCGACGCGAACGTCTCGTCGTAGTCGGCGCCGTACACTTGTGTGAAGCCCTTTACGACCAGCCTCGCCTTCTCACGCTCGACGATGTCGTCGACGTGGTACTTCGTCGTCAACACCCACCGGTTCTTCATGACGTTCACCCCCGGCGGGCGTTCGACCAGCTCCCAAGTGCCCATGTTGATGAGGCTGCGAATCTCCTCCTCCATGGCGACCTTCACCGCCGGGCCCTTCCAGCTTGCCAATGCCTCTTTCACCATCATCGTCGAGATGTCCCAACGGTGATCGGGGTCGGCTAGCATGTCGAGGTCGAGCTCTGGAAACTCCTCATCCTCCTTGGCGTCGTCGTACAGCAGGTCGTCGTCATCGTCGTCCACGTCGTACACCGTGGTGAACGCCGCGGGGACGAAGAAGTCAGGCGGCCTCCGAAGTCGGCCTGAACGTCGTGGTCCTGGTTGGACCTCCTCGACGTCCCCTCCATCGTCGCCGTCGCTGCCCTTGGCGTTCTGCTGCACTGCATCCGGCGTCCCTGCCGACTTCTCCCCTGTGGTCGGCGTCCCAGCCAACTTCTCCCCTGTGATCGGCTCCCCTGCCGGCTGCTCGGTCGCCGACTGCTCCGTAGTCGGCTTCACGGCTGCCTGCTCCTTTGTCGGCCGCTGCTCCTCGACCTGCTTCTGGACGTGCTCCTCCCCTATCGACGTCGACTGCAAACCCACGTCGACCTGCCGCTCGTCACCTCGGCCACCGGCGATGCACCTGGCCGAAGGCGACGTCCCACTACTCCCCTCATCGCTGGAGGCCAACACCGAGGTCAGCTCACGCAGGTCGGCCACGAGGGGAGGGGCATGGGTCCGAGGGGGAGGGGTAGGGGGGCGGACGTCCTCGACGTCCTCAGTAGCAAGCTCACCGACCTCGGCAAGCAGCGGCAGCGACGCCGACGAGGTGTCAGAGGGCGGGGTGGACGACGAGCGGCCAGACACCGGCCCATGCTCCGTCTTCCACTCGGCCAGCGACATCTCCTCGTAGAACACCACGTACGACGTGGTGACCACTCGGTCGGTGTCGACGTCGAGGAGCTCCCAGCCCTTGCTCGCCGCCGACACGCCAAGGTTCAGGCCCCACCTGGCCTTTGGCTTCAGCTTCCCACCACGCTGCTGCTCAGGGACAAGGAACTGCACCATGCAGCCCCACACCCGTGCCAGCGACAAGTCGGGCTTCTTCCCGGTCAGCAGCTGGTACGGCGTCGTCCCCGGCGGCAGCGCCGACCTCTCAAGGCAGTTGCGGACCCAGACGCCCTGCCGGAGAGCGAGGTGCCACCAGTGGTGCTGCACGCCCATGTGCAGTAGCATTGTCCACACCGACTCCACCACCGTCCTCATCTCACGCTCCGCCATGCCGTTCTGCTGCGGGGTGTATGGGCAGGTCAGGTCGTGGACGATCCCCTTGCCGTTCACGAAGTCGGTGAACTGCTTCCCGAGGAACTCCCCTCCCCGGTCAGAGCGCAGCATCAACACCGACTTCTTCGTCTGCCGCTCAGCCACCGCCAGCCACTGCACGAACACCCGCAACGCATCTGACTTCTTGGCGACCGGCTTCACCCACACGTAGCGGGTCTTGCGGTCCTTCAGCAGCAAGAAGTACAGGCTGCTATCCTTGGCAGCCACGCGGAACGGCCCGCACAGGTCGATGTGCACGACGGCCAGCACGTCGTCGGCGTCGGAGCCTTGGTCTGGGAAGGTGTGCCGCGCCAGTTTCCCGCCGACGCACGTGACACACGGGGAGTCGGCGTCCGTCGCCGACTTGAGGTCCAGCCCAATGGCGACCTCGTTCTTCGCCGAGCTCCGTATGGTGTCCATGCCGACATGTGCAAGCCGCGCATGCATCCGGTCCGGGGTCGACTTTGTCTTCGAGACGATCGCCCGCAGAGCCACAACCTCCGTCGTGGGCGACGTCGACCTCGTTGAGCAGGGACGCAGGTCGGTGCAGAGGACACGCCCGGAGTACGTCGCCCGACCGAGCACCGCTCCGGCTGCAAAGACGAGCATCATTCCCTCTCCGTCCTCGTGCAGCTTCACGCCGTGCTCCTTCAGCAGGCCGGACGACAGCAGGTTGGCCCGCACACCCGGGACATACAGTACGTCGGGGATGAGTACCTGCTTCCCGGCCTCCCCTTGTAGGGCGACGGTGCCACGGCACTGGATGTCCTGCAGCGCCCCATTGAAGCCGCGCACATGCCTGATGGCGCCGCTCGGGTGCAGGTCAACGAAGGCTTCCTTCGTCCCCATCAGGTGGTGGGAGCAACCGCTGTCGAGCAGGACCACCGCCAGGTTCGCCTACACAGCTGCCGCCACCGCCTGGAAGTCCTCTCCGGCCTCCGGCGCCAGCGAGACGGTCGGCTCCACGACGCTGACCAGCGAGCACGACGCCGTCTTGTCATCCCGCGCCTTGCCGCCAGCAGGGGAGTCGGCGTCCTTCGCCGAAGTCGACATCTTGGTCGACTGCTTCTCCTTGCGCGGCCGGTTTCCCTCTTTGACGAGGACGACGACTGCTCGACCTCCCGCGGCCGCCCTTGTCGTTGTCGTCGGAGTCACTGCGGTCGGGACACTCGAAGGAGAGGTGATCGGGGCTGTGGCAGATCCAGCACTCTCGACGTCGACCTCCTCCTTCTCGACCGCCGTCCTTGGTCGACTTCTTCTTGACCTCCTTGGTCGACTTCCAGCCACCACTCCCGCCGCCACCAGACTGTCCGCGCTGTCCTGGTCGGCCTCCTTGCTTCGCCGGGGCGACGAAGTTGGCCTGCGCCAAGAGTTCCTGTGACCGCTCAGCCTCCTGCATCGCCTCGTCCTGCAGGATGTACGAGGTCAGGTTGTCCTCGTTGAGCGTCGCCCTTGTGCTCGGCGCCATTGACAGCCGCTTCAGGAGGTTATAGCTGCTAGAAAGTCCCTGCATGACATGGGTGATTTACGACGCCGTGGAGTACTGCGCGCCGGCCATCCTGATAGTGGCGAGAATTCGCCGAGCTCGGTTGCAGTAGTCAGTCGCTGTCTCCTCGTCACCCATACGCAGGTGCGTCAGCTGTCCCTCCAGCTGGGCGATGAACAGGTCGTCGGTGACCTGGTACGTCGACTCAATGAAGTGCCACGCCCGGTGGCCGGCGTCGATGTACTCCCGGCACCACTTTAAGGCGATCTGCACGCCCGGCGAGCAGCACCGCGAGATGATCGTGAAGGTCAACAGCTGCACGGCGCGAAACTCCGCGCGCAAGTCGGGGTGGTGCTCCCCCGGCGTCGCCACGGTCCCTCAGGCGAAGCCGATCAGCCCGGCTATCTCCAGCTGGGGCTCGATAGCTTCCTTCCAGGTGAGAATGTCGGGTCGACCGACCAGTGGGGGGGTGACTGAGATCCTGTCCGGCGTGAACTTGAAGTAGCCGTAGCTCGGCGCAATCCCGCCTGCCGTCACCTGGGACGCCGACATCGGCGACAGCCCACTCCGTCGACCTCCGACGTCACCCTGCGAAGAGCCTGCAGCCGCCGACGACTGCATCCCTCGCGCCTGAACGCCGCCGACTTCACCGGCGTGTATCACACCTCTCTGCCTCGACGTGCCTCCACCACTGCTGCCGACTTGACCACCACCGGCGTTGACGCCCACGTCGACACCGCCTTCGTTGTTCACCGGACGAGGAGAGGCAGGTCGAGACGGGTGCTCCGTCGCCCACATGGAGCGGAGTCCAGCCTCGACGACCGCCCAGGGCAAGTCGCCATACTCGTTGGCCTCGTGCTTCCTCCTCGCGTTCTCCAACCGTGCCTCCAGGGAGTCCACCACCCCCGCGTCACCTACGGCTCCTACCATAGTGACTACCGCACAGTTGCCGGCCTGTAACTACGAAATAGGTAAGTGGTGTCTACGTCGACCTGACTGAAAGGTAAGTCGTGTGTCGTCCACGCTCACCGCACCATGCGGAGATAACTGCTACAACGGGAGCTAGACTACGGGCTAGGCACGTGTGCTCGTGTGATCTCTGCGTTCGTTAGTCCTTAGTCGTTTTCCTTGTGCACACACTACTTGCTTGTTCACGGGGAAAATTGGCAAGAGTTCCACTAGGAAAAGTTCAGAACAATGATACAATGAAGTTGGCATAGCAAGACTACATCAGAGCAAGCATTCAGGTCGGCCAACTGCCAGCGCAGCTTGGTCGACCGCGTTCCAGCACGACTTGGTCGACCGCGCTCCAGCAAGGCAAGGTCGACGGCGTGCCAACGTCGCAGGTTGACAGCGTGCCAGCGTTGCTTGCGCAGAACAGCAGTGCACCCGCTTCGCAGGTGCGCGCAGATGATTGGCGTGCAGAGTCTCATCACCTGCACAGCGCACACACCACGTCAACCTCGTGCTGACGACTGCTTCTGATCGGCCACGTCGACCTCGGGATACCACCACCGAGGTCGGGCTCGCCAACTTCGCCTGGGCGACCGTCGCACTCCTCCGCAGCACTTCGTCACCCAGGTAACCTGGTCGACCGAGTAACCACGTCGACCAGCTGCTCCCGAAGTTGGCGTCACGAAGTTGACGCCCCGCTACTCGACGCCCAACTGCTCGGTGTCCTGAGTCGAGGTCGATGTCGGCCCCTCCTTCGTCGACCACCAGGTCCAGTCAACCACCCGCAGGTCGACCAGCAGTCCGTCAGCCGACCACCGAAGTCGGCTTCCCCAAGTTGATGTCACCAAGTTGACGTCCTCCACAGGTCGACTCCCAAGTCGACCCCCCCCCCGAAGTCGGCGCCACCCTGGAGTCGGCGCCCGTGCAGTGATCCCCGTGCAGGTCGACCTCCTCGTCAACCAGCTGGCCCACTGCTGCAGGTCGGCTGCTCCCCTCACCCCGACCACGATGTCGGCTCCGCCCAAGCGAGGACGGGGCCAACACACAACTCCCGTTGACAGAATATTCTTTGTGGTTCTTGTGTGAACAATTGTGATTGAGTTAAGTTTCAGCTACAGCATATCCCTTAGGGCGCCAAAATTCAAAACTCAAGAAATGCTTCATCTTTTGATACGAAGTTATGCTTCATCTTTTGTTCTTTTCCCAGGTTGGAAAAATAGAACCAGAGGTTGTTTACCAACCTACCACCTGCTGTTTTGTCTAGCCAGGTTGGTTCTGTTGCTTGGAATTATTTGGGATCATCCCTGGTTGTTCCCAGGTTTATTCCCAAGGTCCTTGCTAGCTAGAACTACTTATTCCTTCTCTGTTTGTACCTGGATATACTCAATTTGATTCAAGCGAATTCCTCCCTTCCTGGAATTTCGTTTCTACGCGGTGCAATGGCGGAATGCTACCCGAGTCAACGCTAGTACGCTAGCACTCCAACACTAGGCAAACGCTGTCCGAGCCATAACTTCGTAATGGCAGAACCGGTTCCACGCCCTTATTCTGGTTGAATCGAAGCGGGACTTTCGTTATGGCATATTTCGCAAGGTTGGTGAAGATAGATTCAATGCAGCCATGTCATACCAAATGTCTGCTAGCAAAATAATTCAGCTAAAAAAAACCATTACCGTCACCCCCCGGATATAAGCGCCACCCTAGGATAAGCGCCTGGCGCTTCTAATTGGCATATGGCGCTTATATCCCCTCCTCGATTATAAGCGCACCCCCTGAAAAAACTAGTTTTATTATAAGCGCACGTAAACTTTAAAATTTGAAATGTGTACAAAACGTTGTAATGATTTTTACTTTAGCAGGCAGATATGTTGCAGATTCGGTTCCCTTCACATTCGGACCCTGCACTGGATGCGGGTCCAGTCAGCAGGAGCTGTCAGGAGCTGGATGTGAGTCAGATTGGGTGTGTCTCCCAGCGCGCGCGAGAATTTCACAGACGACCCCATGTAAATTCGACTCGATTGAAAGGGCAAGCACGAGACCTACAGTTTGGTGTTAAACAATATAAAAAATATGAATGTCATTTTATAAACGCCGGCGCTTATAAATTTACTCGATTATAAGCCCACCCCCTTGAAAAAACCTGTTTTATTATTGCCCCCCATGGGGGTATATCCGGGGGGTGACGGTAATTTTACAATATAACAATGCATTTTCCAAATCAGTGTCGGATGCTTTATAACCTATGTCCTGGGAATGCAAGTATGTTCAACAAGATCGTGGATAAAACCTGCCACGTTGTTTGTTATAACTTTGCACAATATTTTCATGCGAAGCAACTCGGGTCCTTCATATTTTGTACCCGTTGAAAAGTCACGCCTTTATTTGTAGAGTTTATATCACGCTAGGGTGTTATACCCGGGGAATTACAGTAAACATTCATGCCAAATACACATGGGTACCGTCATTATGGGCATTTTTAACGCCCTTTGGTTGGCTTCGAGTGCAGCCAGCTCTTGAGGCCATCACCTATCGAGCCAACGCGCACAAATGAACTCACACCAGACTGTGAACCATGCGGCCTCTCAGCCTCCCTCCTGCTGTCTCCAAATGACACAGCAAAAGCATCCCTAGTTTAACTACCCTTGTTGCTTTCACTCTCTTCTTCTGTGGCACTCTCCCACTCATCCTCCTTGTCGGGGCAGTGCTTGGCAATGAGGGCACTGAGGCGGTATGCCACATCCTTCATAGTGGGTCGCCGTGTGCCAGGAGACTTGATGCAGTCCAGAGCCAGGTCTGCAAGTTCCACTATAGCCTCTTCACTTGCCGCCGGCATCTTGCTGTCCCTCAGCTCTTCTAGCTCATATGTCTCCACCAGCTTCATAGCCTGGAAGGAGTTTATAAAAGAAAGGGTGATGGAAAGCAGCATGCTAAGTATGGAAGACGGTGGAAGGCAGCAAGATGACAAAAACATTACTGTACAAATGAGTGGTAGCACAAAAGTGAATTACGGATAAATGAGTGGCCATTAGATCCATTTGAGATTCGATGGACATTAACATTATCTTAAATGCACTATTTTTATTTGTTTTTTAGCAAACTCAAATCTTGGATAACACACTTACCCATTTGCATATGTGCGTTCTTGTGTTGACTTGGGGCGACTTTCCACTCAGCAGCTCAAGAAGCACGACTCCAAAGCTGCAAGCAATCATGCATTTAATATAAGAGGGAAAAAGATGGAGAAAAAAAGAGAGAGAGGTACAGGGTACATGTATTTAGCATAACCTGGATATTAAGAGAAACAGGGGCGCAGAAGTGTAACGTGTTGTGGAAAGGAACAAGCATACTGACCTGAACACGTCACTCTTGGCTGTGATGACATTGGTGCGGTTGTAATCCGGATCCACATAGCCCGGAGTGCCAGCAACTCGCGTGGCATCAGCATCGCCGTGAGTGAGGCGCTTGAGCAGCCCAAAGTCAGCCACCTTGGCTTGCATGTCTTCAGTCACAAGAATGTTGGCGGGCTTGATGTCGCGGTGAACGATGGGCGTGTCAAACCCGTGCAGGTACGCCAAGCCCTCTGCTGCTCCCAGTGCCAGGCGCAGCCTCTGGCGTAGAGACAGCGGACCTGGGCCATGCAACGAGTATACCATGTAGTGAGAAAAACAAACAACATATGGATGATAGGTTTGTGAGTGATGGTGTCATGCTGTGCAAGAAAATTAATAATAATGTAAACAAAAGGCGCGTGGCAACCATAGTGCAAACTCACGCTTGGTCTTGTGGATATGGTACTCCATGTCCCTATTGCCTATGAAATCGTACACGAGGATCTGCTCCTGCTTGCCTGTCTCCACGTTCTGGTCGAGGCAAAAGCCCAGCAGGCGCACGAGGTGTGTGTGGTGGAGAGAGGCCATGGCTCGCACCTGTAGTGAGAACACAAGACAGGCAATGACGCACATGGCCATGGAATGGCGGGCATTCAGTTCGCAGGTCAGCAGTTGTCACATGAACATGGATCACAATGCAGGGGGATGTGCATGGATTTAAGCTGGAGGTCAGCATTTTGAAGAACACAATGTGGCCCCGAATTAGAATGTTAGCATTCTGAGCAACAAAAAATATTCCTAGAATCTAAGTCACTACACCACTGGAATAAAAGCGTTTTTTAAGTAGTGAGCGCGTCCATTATCCCCTAGGCAAGCGTGCTTGTAACCATTTCTCAGTATCAATCGGGGGATCCCCAGTGCACGTCTACTGGCAACCCCCCCCCAACCCCTCACCCCTCACTGGGATGACTTAGGACACGGTACAGTGGCAACAACACATGGGCGCCAGTATGTGCGCATATGAAGTTTCGAATCGGAAACCTTTGCTCTGTTATCACGTCAGGATTAAGCTACTGCACAACTAGGATGGAATGGTTGTTAAGGAGCGGGTGAGTGCATCCATAAACCCCATGCAAGAGTGCTTGTAAACCTTCCCTGGGATCAATCGAGGATTCACAGTGCATGTGTTCTGACAAGAACTGATTTTTTTGTCCTCACCTCCGTTTCGAAGTCGTTGGTCATGATGGTGGATCGCTTGATGGCCCACAGCTGGCCCTGTGGAGAGCGGCCTTTGTATACAATGCCAAAGCCACCCTTGCCCAGCACATTGTCCTCCGACCAGTTGTTGGTGGCCCTTAGCATCTGCTGCAGCGAGAATTGCTCGCACACATCCAGCCCCTCCCACTTCTCTGCGCACAGAAAAATTCCAGACTAGAGGTGTGAGGGACTAAGGGTGTAGATGCGTGGACAGGGCATGAGAAAAGAGTGGAGGCGAGCATGAGGGAAGAGTAGAGGCGAGCATGAGGGCAGAGTAGAGGCGAGCACGAGGGCAGAGTAGAGGCGAGCATGAGGGCCAGAGTAGAGACGAGCATGAGGGCAGAGTAGAGGCGAGCATGAGGGCAGAGTAGAGGCGAGCATGAGGGCAGAGTAGAGGCGAGCATGAGGGCAGAGTAGAGGCGAGCATGAGGGCAGAGTAGAGGCGAGCATGAGGGCAGAGTAGAGGCGAGCATGAGGGCAGAGTAGAAGCGAGCATGAGGGCAGAGTAGAGACGAGCATGAGGGCAGAGTAGAGGCGAGCATGAGGGCAGAGTACAGGCGAGCATGAGGGCAGAGTAGAGGCGAGCATGAGGGCAGAGTAGAGGCGAGCATGAGGGCAGAGTACAGGCGAGCATGAGGGCAGAGTAGAGGCGAGCATGAGGGCAGAGTAGAGGCGAGCATGAGGGCAGAGTAGAGGCGAGCATGAGGGCAGAGTAGAAGCGAGCATGAGGGCAGAGTAGAGGCGAGCATGAGGGCAGGGTAGAGGCGAGCATGAGGGCAGAGTACAGGCGAGCATGAGGGCAGAGTAGAGGCGAGCATGAGGGCAGAGTAGAGGCGAGCATGAGGGCAGAGTAGAGGCGAGCATGAGGGCAGAGTAGAAGCGAGCATGAGGGCAGAGTAGAGGCGAGCATGAGGGCAGGGTAGAGGCGAGCATGAGGGCAGAGTACAGGCGAGCATGAGGGCAGAGTAGGGGCGAGCATGAGGGCAAAGTAGAGGCGAGCATGAGGGCAGAGTAGAGGCGAGCATGAGGGCAGAGTAGAGGCGAGCATGAGGGCAGAGTAGAGGCGAGCATGAGGGCAGAGTAGAGGCGAGCATGAGGGCAGAGTAGAGGCGAGCATGAGGGCAGAGTAGAGGCGAGCATGAGGGCAGAGTAGAGGCGAGCATGAGGGCAGAGTAGAGGCGAGCATGAGGGCAGAGTACAGGCGAGCATGAGGGTAGAGTACAGGCGAGCATGAGGGCAGAGTAGAGGCGAGCATGAGGGCAGAGTAGAGGCGAGCATGAGGGCAGAGTAGAGGCGAGCATGAGGGCAGAGTAGAGGCGAGCATGAGGGCAGAGTAGAGGCGAGCATGAGGGCAGAGTACAGGCGAGCATGAGGGCAGAGTAGAGGCGAGCATGAGGGCAGAGGATAGGCGAGCATGAGGGCAGAGTAGAGGCGAGCATGAGAAAATAATACAAGCGAGCATGAGGGCAGAGTAGAGGCGAGCATGAGGGCAGAGTAGAGGCGAGCATGAGGGCAGAGTACAGGCGAGCATGAGGGCAGAGTAGAGGCGAGCATGAGGGCAGAGTAGAGGCGAGCATGAGGGTAGAGTACAGGCGAGCATGAGGGCAGAGTAGAGGCGAGCATGAGGGCAGAGTACACGCGAGCATGAGGGCAGAGTAGAGGCGAGCATGAGGGCAGAGTAGAGGCGAGCATGAGGGCAGAGAAGAAGCGAGCATGAGAAAATAATACAAGCGAGCATGAGGGCGGAGTAGAGGCGAGCATGAGGGCAGAGTAGAGGCGAGCATGAGGGCAGAGTACAGGCGAGCATGAGGGCAGAGTAGAGGCGAGCATGAGGGCAGAGTAGAGGCGAGCATGAGGGCAGAGTAGAGGCGAGCATGAGGGCAGAGTACAGGCGAGCATGAGAAAATAATACAGGCGAGCATGAGGGCAGAGTACAGGCGAGCATGAGGGTAGAGTAGAGGCGAGCATGAGGGCAGAGTAGAGGCGAGCATGAGGGCAGAGTACAGGTGAGCATGAGGACAGAGTACAGGCGAGCATGAGGGCAGAGTAGAGGCGAGCATGAGGGCAGAGGATAGGCGAGCATGAGGGCAGAGTAGAGGCGAGCATGAGAAAATAATACAAGCGAGCATGAGGGCAGAGTAGAGGCGAGCATGAGGGCAGAGTAGAGGCGAGCATGAGGGCAGAGTACAGGCGAGCATGAGGGCAGAGTAGAGGCGAGCATGAGGGCAGAGGATAGGCGAGCATGAGGGCAGAGTAGAGGCGAGCATGAGAAAATAATACAAGCGAGCATGAGGGCAGAGTAGAGGCGAGCATGAGGGCAGAGTAGAGGCGAGCATGAGGGCAGAGTAGAGGCGAGCATGAGGGCAGAGTAGAGGCGAGCATGAGGGCAGAGTAGAGGCGAGCATGAGGGCAGAGTACAGGCGAGCATGAGGGTAGAGTACAGGCGAGCATGAGGGCAGAGTAGAGGCGAGCATGAGGGCAGAGTACAGGCGAGCATGAGGGCAGAGTAGAGGCGAGCATGAGGGCAGAGTAGAGGCGAGCATGAGAAAATAATACAGGCGAGCATGAGGGCAGAGTAGAGGCGAGCATGAGAAAATAATACAGGCGAGCATGAGGGCAGAGTAGAGGCGAGCATGAGGGCAGAGTACAGGCGAGCATGAGGGTAGAGTAGAGGCGGGCATGAGGGCAGAGTACAGGCGAGCATGAGGGCAGAGTAGAGGCGAGCATGAGGGCAGAGTACAGGCGAGCATGAGGGCAGAGTAGAGGCGAGCATGAGGGCAGAGTAGAGACGAGCATGAGGGCAGAGTAGAGGCGAGCATGAGGGCAGTGTAGAGACGAGCATGAGGGCAGAGTAGAGGCGAGCATGAGGGCAGAGTACAGGCGAGCATGAGGGCAGAGTACAGGCGAGCATGAGGGCAGAGTAGAGGCGAGCATGAGGGCAGAGTAGAGGTGAGCATGAGAAAATAATACAGGCGAGCATGAGGGCAGAGTAGAGGCGAGCATGAGGGCAGAGTAGAGGCGAGCATGAGGGCAGAGTAGAGGCGAGCATGAGGGCAGAGTAGAGGCGAGCATGAGGGCAGAGTACAGGCGAGCATGAGGGCAGAGTAGAGGCGAGCATGAGGGCAGAGTAGAGGCGAGCATGAGGGCAGAGTACAGGCGAGCATGAGGGCAGAGTAGAGGCGAGCATGAGGGCAGAGTAGAGACAAACATGAGGGCAGAGTAGAGGCGAGCATGAGGGCAGAGTACAGGCGAGCATGAGAAAAAAATACAGGCGAGCATGAGGGCAGAGTAGAGGCGAGCATGAGGGCAGAGTAGAGGCGAGCATGAGGGCAGAGTACAGGCGAGCATGAGGGCAGAGTAGAGGCGAGCATGAGGGCAGAGTAGAGGCGAGCATGAGGGCAGAGTACAGGCGAGCATGAGGGCAGAGTAGAGGCGAGCATGAGGGCAGAGTAGAGGCGAGCATGAGGGCAGAGTACAGGCGAGCATGAGGGCAGAGTAGAGGCGAGCATGAGGGCAGAGTAGAGACAAACATGAGGGCAGAGTAGAGGCGAGCATGAGGGCAGAGTACAGGCGAGCATGAGAAAATAATACAGGCGAGCATGAGGGCAGAGTAGAGGCGAGCATGAGGGCAGAGTAGAGGCGAGCATGAGGCCAGAGTACAGGCGAGCATGAGGGCAGAGTAGAGGCGAGCATGAGGGCAGAGTAGAGGCGAGCATGAGGGCAGAGTACAGGCGAGCATGAGGGCAGAGTAGAGGCGAGCATGAGGGCAGAGTAGAGGCGAGCATGAGGGCAGAGTACAGGCGAGCATGAGGGCAGAGTAGAGGCGAGCACGAGGGCAGAGTAGAGGCGAGCATGAGGGCCAGAGTAGAGACGAGCATGAGGGCAGAGTAGAGGCGAGCATGAGGGCAGAGTAGAGGCGAGCATGAGGGCAGAGTAGAGGCGAGCATGAGGGCAGAGTAGAGGCGAGCATGAGGGCAGAGTAGAGGCGAGCATGAGGGCAGAGTAGAGGCGAGCATGAGGGCAGAGTAGAAGCGAGCATGAGGGCAGAGTAGAGACGAGCATGAGGGCAGAGTAGAGGCGAGCATGAGGGCAGAGTACAGGCGAGCATGAGGGCAGAGTAGAGGCGAGCATGAGGGCAGAGTAGAGGCGAGCATGAGGGCAGAGTACAGGCGAGCATGAGGGCAGAGTAGAGGCGAGCATGAGGGCAGAGTAGAGGCGAGCATGAGGGCAGAGTAGAGGCGAGCATGAGGGCAGAGTAGAAGCGAGCATGAGGGCAGAGTAGAGGCGAGCATGAGGGCAGAGTAGAGGCGAGCATGAGAAAATAATACAGGCGAGCATGAGGGCAGAGTAGAGGCGAGCATGAGAAAATAATACAGGCGAGCATGAGGGCAGAGTAGAGGCGAGCATGAGGGCAGAGTACAGGCGAGCATGAGGGCAGAGTAGAGGCGAGCATGAGGGCAGAGGATAGGCGAGCATGAGGGCAGAGTAGAGGCGAGCATGAGAAAATAATACAAGCGAGCATGAGGGCAGAGTAGAGGCGAGCATGAGGGCAGAGTAGAGGCGAGCATGAGGGCAGAGTAGAGGCGAGCATGAGGGCAGAGTAGAGGCGAGCATGAGGGCAGAGTAGAGGCGAGCATGAGGGCAGAGTACAGGCGAGCATGAGGGTAGAGTACAGGCGAGCATGAGGGCAGAGTAGAGGCGAGCATGAGGGCAGAGTACAGGCGAGCATGAGGGCAGAGTAGAGGCGAGCATGAGGGCAGAGTAGAGGCGAGCATGAGAAAATAATACAGGCAAGCATGAGGGCAGAGTAGAGGCGAGCATGAGAAAATAATACAGGCGAGCATGAGGGCAGAGTAGAGGCGAGCATGAGGGCAGAGTACAGGCGAGCATGAGGGTAGAGTAGAGGCGGGCATGAGGGCAGAGTACAGGCGAGCATGAGGGCAGAGTAGAGGCGAGCATGAGGGCAGAGTACAGGCGAGCATGAGGGCAGAGTAGAGGCGAGCATGAGGGCAGAGTAGAGACGAGCATGAGGGCAGAGTAGAGGCGAGCATGAGGGCAGTGTAGAGACGAGCATGAGGGCAGAGTAGAGGCGAGCATGAGGGCAGAGTACAGGCGAGCATGAGGGCAGAGTACAGGCGAGCATGAGGGCAGAGTAGAGGCGAGCATGAGGGCAGAGTAGAGGTGAGCATGAGAAAATAATACAGGCGAGCATGAGGGCAGAGTAGAGGCGAGCATGAGGGCAGAGTAGAGGCGAGCATGAGGGCAGAGTAGAGGCGAGCATGAGGGCAGAGTAGAGGCGAGCATGAGGGCAGAGTACAGGCGAGCATAAGGGCAGAGTAGAGGCGAGCATGAGGGCAGAGTAGAGGCGAGCATGAGGGCAGAGTACAGGCGAGCATGAGGGCAGAGTAGAGGCGAGCATGAGGGCAGAGTAGAGACAAACATGAGGGCAGAGTAGAGGCGAGCATGAGGGCAGAGTACAGGCGAGCATGAGAAAATAATACAGGCGAGCATGAGGGCAGAGTAGAGGCGAGCATGAGGGCAGAGTAGAGGCGAGCATGAGGGCAGAGTACAGGCGAGCATGAGGGCAGAGTAGAGGCGAGCATGAGGGCAGAGTAGAGGCGAGCATGAGGGCAGAGTACAGGCGAGCATGAGGGCAGAGTAGAGGCGAGCATGAGGGCAGAGTAGAGGCGAGCATGAGGGCAGAGTACAGGCGAGCATGAGGGCAGAGTAGAGGCGAGCATGAGGGCAGAGTAGAGACAAACATGAGGGCAGAGTAGAGGCGAGCATGAGGGCAGAGTACAGGCGAGCATGAGAAAATAATACAGGCGAGCATGAGGGCAGAGTAGAGGCGAGCATGAGGGCAGAGAAGAGGCGAGCATGAGGGCAGAGTAGAGGCGAGCATGAGGGCAGAGTAGAGGCGAGCATGAGGGCAGAGTAGAGGCGAGCATGAGGGCAGAGTACAGGCGAGCATGAGGGCAGAGTAGAGGCGAGCATGAGGGCAGAGTACAGGCGAGCATGAGGGCAGAGTACAGGCGAGCATGAGGGCAGAGTAGAGACGAGCATGAGGGCAGAGTAGAGACGAGCATGAGGGCAGAGTAGAGGCGAGCATGAGGGCAGAGTAGAGGCGAGCATGAGGGCAGAGTAGAGGCGAGCATGAGGGCAGAGTAGAGGCGAGCATGAGGGCAGAGTACAGGCGAGCATGAGGGCAGAGTAGAGGCGAGCATGAGGGCAGAGTAGAGGCGAGCATGAGGGCAGAGTACAGGCGAGCATGAGGGCAGAGTAGAGGCGAGCATGAGGGCAGAGTAGAGACAAACATGAGGGCAGAGTAGAGGCGAGCATGAGGGCAGAGTACAGGCGAGCATGAGAAAATAATACAGGCGAGCATGAGGGCAGAGTAGAGGCGAGCATGAGGGCAGAGAAGAGGCGAGCATGAGGGCAGAGTAGAGGCGAGCATGAGGGCAGAGTAGAGGCGAGCATGAGGGCAGAGTAGAGGCGAGCATGAGGGCAGAGTAGAGGCGAGCATGAGGGCAGAGTAGAGGCGAGCATGAGGGCAGAGTACAGGCGAGCATGAGGGCAGAGTACAGGCGAGCATGAGGGCAGAGTAGAGACGAGCATGAGGGCAGAGTAGAGACGAGCATGAGGGCAGAGTAGAGGCGAGCATGAGGGCAGAGTAGAGGCGAGCATGAGGGCAGAGTAGAGGCGAGCATGAGGGCAGAGTACAGGCGAGCATGAGGGCAGAGTAGAGGCGAGCATGAGGGTAGAGTAGAGGCGAGCATGAGAAAATAATACAGGCGAGCATGAGGGCAGAGTAGAGGCGAGCATGAGGGCAGAGTAGAGGCGAGCATGAGGGCAGAGTAGAGGCGAGCATGAGGGCAGAGTAGAGGCGAGCATGAGAAAATAATACAGGCGAGCATGAGGGCAGAGTAGAGGCGAGCATGAGGGCAGAGTAGAGGTGAGCATGAGGGCAGAGTAGAGGCGAGCATGAGGGCAGAGTAGAGGCGAGCATGAGGGCAGAGTAGAGGCGAGCATGAGGGCAGAGTACAGGCGAGCATGAGGGCAGAGTAGAGGCGAGCATGAGGGCAGAGTACAGGCGAGCATGAGAAAATAATACAGGCGAGCATGAGGGCAGAGTACAGGCGAGCATGAGGGTAGAGTAGAGGCGAGCATGAGGGCAGAGTAGAGGCGAGCATGAGGGCAGAGTACAGGTGAGCATGAGGGCAGAGTAGAGGCGAGCATGAGGGCAGAGTACAGGCGAGCATGAGGGCAGAGTAGAGGCGAGCATGAGGGCAGAGTAGAGGCGAGCATGAGAAAATAATACAGGCGAGCATGAGGGCAGAGTAGAGGCGAGCATGAGGGCAGAGTAGAGGCGAGCATGAGGGCAGAGTAGAGGCGAGCATGAGGGCAGAGTAGAGGCGAGCATGAGGGCAGAGTACAGGCGAGCATGAGGGTAGAGTACAGGCGAGCATGAGGGCAGAGTAGAGGCGAGCATGAGGGCAGAGTACAGGCGAGCATGAGGGCAGAGTAGAGGCGAGCATGAGGGCAGAGTAGAGGCGAGCATGAGAAAATAATACAGGCGAGCATGAGGGCAGAGTAGAGGCGAGCATGAGAAAATAATACAGGCGAGCATGAGGGCAGAGTAGAGGCGAGCATGAGGGCAGAGTACAGGCGAGCATGAGGGTAGAGTAGAGGCGGGCATGAGGGCAGAGTACAGGCGAGCATGAGGGCAGAGTAGAGGCGAGCATGAGGGCAGAGTACAGGCGAGCATGAGGGCAGAGTAGAGGCGAGCATGAGGGCAGAGTAGAGACGAGCATGAGGGCAGAGTAGAGGCGAGCATGAGGGCAGTGTAGAGACGAGCATGAGGGCAGAGTAGAGGCGAGCATGAGGGCAGAGTACAGGCGAGCATGAGGGCAGAGTACAGGCGAGCATGAGGGCAGAGTAGAGGCGAGCATGAGGGCAGAGTAGAGGTGAGCATGAGAAAATAATACAGGCGAGCATGAGGGCAGAGTAGAGGCGAGCATGAGGGCAGAGTAGAGGCGAGCATGAGGGCAGAGTAGAGGCGAGCATGAGGGCAGAGTAGAGGCGAGCATGAGGGCAGAGTACAGGCGAGCATAAGGGCAGAGTAGAGGCGAGCATGAGGGCAGAGTAGAGGCGAGCATGAGGGCAGAGTACAGGCGAGCATGAGGGCAGAGTAGAGGCGAGCATGAGGGCAGAGTAGAGACAAACATGAGGGCAGAGTAGAGGCGAGCATGAGGGCAGAGTAGAGGCGAGCATGAGGGCAGAGTACAGGCGAGCATGAGGGCAGAGTAGAGGCGAGCATGAGGGCAGAGTAGAGGCGAGCATGAGGGCAGAGTACAGGCGAGCATGAGGGCAGAGTAGAGGCGAGCATGAGGGCAGAGTAGAGGCGAGCATGAGGGCAGAGTACAGGCGAGCATGAGGGCAGAGTAGAGGCGAGCATGAGGGCAGAGTAGAGACAAGCATGAGGGCAGAGTAGAGGCGAGCATGAGGGCAGAGTACAGGCGAGCATGAGAAAATTATACAGGCGAGCATGAGGGCAGAGTAGAGGCGAGCATGAGGGCAGAGAAGAGGCGAGCATGAGGGCAGAGTAGAGGCGAGCATGAGGGCAGAGTAGAGGCGAGCATGAGGGCAGAGTAGAGGCGAGCATGAGGGCAGAGTACAGGCGAGCATGAGGGCAGAGTAGAGGCGAGCATGAGGGCAGAGTACAGGCGAGCATGAGGGCAGAGTACAGGCGAGCATGAGGGCAGAGTAGAGACGAGCATGAGGGCAGAGTAGAGACGAGCATGAGGGCAGAGTAGAGGCGAGCATGAGGGCAGAGTAGAGGCGAGCATGAGGGCAGAGTAGAGGCGAGCATGAGGGCAGAGTAGAGGCGAGCATGAGGGCAGAGTACAGGCGAGCATGAGGGCAGAGTAGAGGCGAGCATGAGGGCAGAGTAGAGGCGAGCATGAGGGCAGAGTACAGGCGAGCATGAGGGCAGAGTAGAGGCGAGCATGAGGGCAGAGTAGAGACAAACATGAGGGCAGAGTAGAGGCGAGCATGAGGGCAGAGTACAGGCGAGCATGAGAAAATAATACAGGCGAGCATGAGGGCAGAGTAGAGGCGAGCATGAGGGCAGAGAAGAGGCGAGCATGAGGGCAGAGTAGAGGCGAGCATGAGGGCAGAGTAGAGGCGAGCATGAGGGCAGAGTAGAGGCGAGCATGAGGGCAGAGTAGAGGCGAGCATGAGGGCAGAGTAGAGGCGAGCATGAGGGCAGAGTACAGGCGAGCATGAGGGCAGAGTACAGGCGAGCATGAGGGCAGAGTAGAGACGAGCATGAGGGCAGAGTAGAGACGAGCATGAGGGCAGAGTAGAGGCGAGCATGAGGGCAGAGTAGAGGCGAGCATGAGGGCAGAGTAGAGGCGAGCATGAGGGCAGAGTACAGGCGAGCATGAGGGCAGAGTAGAGGCGAGCATGAGGGTAGAGTAGAGGCGAGCATGAGAAAATAATACAGGCGAGCATGAGGGCAGAGTAGAGGCGAGCATGAGGGCAGAGTAGAGGCGAGCATGAGGGCAGAGTAGAGGCGAGCATGAGGGCAGAGTAGAGGCGAGCATGAGAAAATAATACAGGCGAGCATGAGGGCAGAGTAGAGGCGAGCATGAGGGCAGAGTAGAGGTGAGCATGAGGGCAGAGTAGAGGCGAGCATGAGGGCAGAGTAGAGGCGAGCATGAGGGCAGAGTAGAGGCGAGCATGAGGGCAGAGTACAGGCGAGCATGAGGGCAGAGTAGAGGCGAGCATGAGGGCAGAGTACAGGCGAGCATGAGAAAATAATACAGGCGAGCATGAGGGCAGAGTACAGGCGAGCATGAGGGTAGAGTAGAGGCGAGCATGAGGGCAGAGTAGAGGCGAGCATGAGGGCAGAGTACAGGTGAGCATGAGGGCAGAGTAGAGGCGAGCATGAGGGCAGAGTACAGGCGAGCATGAGGGCAGAGTAGAGGCGAGCATGAGGGCAGAGTAGAGGCGAGCATGAGGGCAGGGTAGAGGCGAGCATGAGGGCAGAGTAGAGGCGAGCATGAGGGCAGAGTAGAGGCGAGCATGAGGGCAGAGTACAGGCGAGCATGAGGGCAGAGTAGAGGCGAGCATGAGGGCAGAGTACAGGCGAGCATGAGAAAATAATACAGGCGAGCATGAGGGCAGAGTACAGGCGAGCATGAGGGTAGAGTAGAGGCGAGCATGAGGGCAGAGTAGAGGCGAGCATGAGGGCAGAGTACAGGTGAGCATGAGGGCAGAGTAGAGGCGAGCATGAGGGCAGAGTACAGGCGAGCATGAGGGCAGAGTAGAGGCGAGCATGAGGGCAGAGTAGAGGCGAGCATGAGAAAATAATACAGGCGAGCATGAGGGCAGAGTAGAGGCGAGCATGAGGGCAGAGTACAGGCGAGCATGAGGGTAGAGTAGAGGCGGGCATGAGGGCAGAGTACAGGCGAGCATGATGGCTGAGTAGAGGCGAGCATGAGGGCAGAGTACAGGCGAGCATGAGGGCAGAGTAGAGGCGAGTATGAGGGCAGAGTAGAGACGAGCATGAGGGCAGAGTAGAGGCGAGCATGAGGGCAGAGTAGAGACGAGCAAGAGGGCAGAGTAGAGGCGAGCATGAGGGCAGAGTAGAGGCGAGCATGAGGGCAGAGTACAGGTGAGCATGAGGGCAGAGTAGAGGCGAGCATGAGGGCAGAGTAGAGGCGAGCATGAGGGCAGAGTACAGGCGAGCATGAGGGCAGAGTAGAGGCGAGCATGAGGGCAGAGTAGAGACAAACATGAGGGCAGAGTAGAGGCGAGCATGAGGGCAGAGTACAGGCGAGCATGAGAAAACAAAAAAGGCGAGCATGAGGGCAGAGTAGAGGCGAGCATGAGGGCAGAGTAGAGGCGAGCATGAGGGCAGAGTACAGGCGAGCATGAGGGCAGAGTAGAGGCGAGCATGAGGGCAGAGTAGAGGCGAGCATGAGGGCAGAGTACAGGCGAGCATGAGGGCAGAGTAGAGGCGAGCATGAGGGCAGAGTAGAGACAAACATGAGGGCAGAGTAGAGGCGAGCATGAGGGCAGAGTACAGGCGAGCATGAGAAAATAATACAGGCGAGCATGAGGGCAGAGTAGAGGCGAGCATGAGGGCAGAGTAGAGGCGAGCATGAGGGCAGAGTAGAGGCGAGCATGAGGGCAGAGTAGAGGCGAGCATGAGGGCAGAGTAGAGGCGAGCATGAGGGCAGAGTACAGGCGAGCATGAGGGCAGAGTAGAGGCGAGCATGAGGGCAGAGTACAGGCGAGCATGAGGGCAGAGTACAGGCGAGCATGAGGGCAGAGTAGAGACGAGCATGAGGGCAGAGTAGAGACGAGCATGAGGGCAGAGTAGAGGCGAGCATGAGGGCAGAGTAGAGGCAAGCATGAGGGCAGAGTAGAGGCGAGCATGAGGGCAGAGTACAGGCGAGCATGAGGGCAGAGTAGAGGCGAGCATGAGGGCAGAGTAGAGGCGAGCATGAGGGCAGAGTAGAGGCGAGCATGAGGGCAGAGTAGAGGCAAGCATGAGGGCAGAGTAGAGGCGAGCATGAGGGCAGAGTACAGGCGAGCATGAGGGCAGAGTAGAGGCGAGCATGAGGGCAGAGTAGAGGCGAGCATGAGAAAATAATACAGGCGAGCATGAGGGCAGAGTAGAGGCGAGCATGAGGGCAGAGTAGAGGCGAGCATGAGGGCAGAGTAGAGGCGAGCATGAGGGCAGAGTAGAGGCGAGCATGAGAAAATAATACAGGCGAGCATGAGGGCAGAGTAGAGGCGAGCATGAGGGCAGAGTAGAGGTGAGCATGAGGGCAGAGTAGAGGCGAGCATGAGGGCAGAGTAGAGGCGAGCATGAGGGCAGAGTACAGGCGAGCATGAGGGCAGAGTAGAGGCGAGCATGAGGGCAGAGTAGAGGCGAGCATGAGGGCAGAGTAGAGGCGAGCATGAGAAAATAATACAAGCGAGCATGAGGGCAGAGTAGAGGCGAGCATGAGGGCAGAGTAGAGGCGAGCATGAGGGCAGAGTACAGGCGAGCATGAGGGCAGAGTAGAGGCGAGCATGAGGGCAGAGTAGAGGCGAGCATGAGAAAATAATACAGGCGAGCATGAGGGCAGAGTAGAGGCGAGCATGAGGGCAGAGTAGAGGCGAGCATGAGGGCAGAGTAGAGGCGAGCATGAGGGCAGAGTAGAGGCGAGCATGAGAAAATAATACAGGCGAGCATGAGGGCAGAGTAGAGGCGAGCATGAGGGCAGAGTAGAGGTGAGCATGAGGGCAGAGTAGAGGCGAGCATGAGAGCAGAGTAGAGGCGAGCATGAGGGCAGAGTACAGTCGAGCATGAGGGCAGAGTAGAGGCGAGCATGAGGGCAGAGTAGAGGCGAGCATGAGGGCAGAGTACAGGCGAGCATGAGGGCAGAGTAGAGGCGAGCATGAGGGCAGAGTAGAGGCGAGCATGAGGGCAGAGTAGAGGCGAGCATGAGAAAATAATACAAGCGAGCATGAGGGCAGAGTAGAGGCGAGCATGAGGGCAGAGTAGAGGCGAGCATGAGGGCAGAGTACAGGCGAGCATGAGGGCAGAGTAGAGGCGAGCATGAGGGCAGAGTAGAGGCGAGCATGAGGGCAGAGTACAGGCGAGCATGAGGGCAGAGTAGAGGCGAGCATGAGGGCAGAGTAGAGGCGAGCATGAGGGCAGAGTAGAGGCGAGCATGAGGGCAGAGTAGAGGCGAGCATGAGAAAATAATACAAGCGAGCATGAGGGCAGAGTAGAGGCGAGCATGAGGGCAGAGTACAGGCGAGCATGAGGGCAGAGTACAGGCGAGCATGAGGGCAGAGTAGAGGCGAGCATGAGGGCAGAGTAGAGGCGAGCATGAGGGCAGAGTAGAGGCGAGCATGAGGGCAGAGTAGAGGCGAGCATGAGGGCAGAGTAGAGGCGAGCATGAGAAAATAATACAAGCGAGCATGAGGGCAGAGTAGAGGCGAGCATGAGGGCAGAGTAGAGGCGAGCATGAGGGCAGAGTAGAGGCGAGCATGAGGGCAGAGTACAGGCGAGCATGAGGGTAGAGTACAGGCGAGCATGAGGGCAGAGTAGAGGCGAGCATGAGGGCAGAGTACAGGCGAGCATGAGGGCAGAGTAGAGGCGAGCATGAGGGCAGAGTAGAGGCGAGCATGAGAAAATAATACAGGCGAGCATGAGGGCAGAGTAGAGGCGAGCATGAGAAAATAATACAGGCGAGCATGAGGGCAGAGTAGAGGCGAGCATGAGGGCAGAGTACAGGCGAGCATGAGGGTAGAGTAGAGGCGGGCATGAGGGCAGAGTACAGGCGAGCATGAGGGCAGAGTAGAGGCGAGCATGAGGGCAGAGTACAGGCGAGCATGAGGGCAGAGTAGAGGCGAGCATGAGGGCAGAGTAGAGACGAGCATGAGGGCAGAGTAGAGGCGAGCATGAGGGCAGTGTAGAGACGAGCATGAGGGCAGAGTAGAGGCGAGCATGAGGGCAGAGTACAGGCGAGCATGAGGGCAGAGTACAGGCGAGCATGAGGGCAGAGTAGAGGCGAGCATGAGGGCAGAGTAGAGGTGAGCATGAGAAAATAATACAGGCGAGCATGAGGGCAGAGTAGAGGCGAGCATGAGGGCAGAGTAGAGGCGAGCATGAGGGCAGAGTAGAGGCGAGCATGAGGGCAGAGTAGAGGCGAGCATGAGGGCAGAGTACAGGCGAGCATAAGGGCAGAGTAGAGGCGAGCATGAGGGCAGAGTAGAGGCGAGCATGAGGGCAGAGTACAGGCGAGCATGAGGGCAGAGTAGAGGCGAGCATGAGGGCAGAGTAGAGACAAACATGAGGGCAGAGTAGAGGCGAGCATGAGGGCAGAGTAGAGGCGAGCATGAGGGCAGAGTACAGGCGAGCATGAGGGCAGAGTAGAGGCGAGCATGAGGGCAGAGTAGAGGCGAGCATGAGGGCAGAGTACAGGCGAGCATGAGGGCAGAGTAGAGGCGAGCATGAGGGCAGAGTAGAGGCGAGCATGAGGGCAGAGTACAGGCGAGCATGAGGGCAGAGTAGAGGCGAGCATGAGGGCAGAGTAGAGACAAACATGAGGGCAGAGTAGAGGCGAGCATGAGGGCAGAGTACAGGCGAGCATGAGAAAATTATACAGGCGAGCATGAGGGCAGAGTAGAGGCGAGCATGAGGGCAGAGAAGAGGCGAGCATGAGGGCAGAGTAGAGGCGAGCATGAGGGCAGAGTAGAGGCGAGCATGAGGGCAGAGTAGAGGCGAGCATGAGGGCAGAGTACAGGCGAGCATGAGGGCAGAGTAGAGGCGAGCATGAGGGCAGAGTACAGGCGAGCATGAGGGCAGAGTACAGGCGAGCATGAGGGCAGAGTAGAGACGAGCATGAGGGCAGAGTAGAGACGAGCATGAGGGCAGAGTAGAGGCGAGCATGAGGGCAGAGTAGAGGCGAGCATGAGGGCAGAGTAGAGGCGAGCATGAGGGCAGAGTAGAGGCGAGCATGAGGGCAGAGTACAGGCGAGCATGAGGGCAGAGTAGAGGCGAGCATGAGGGCAGAGTAGAGGCGAGCATGAGGGCAGAGTACAGGCGAGCATGAGGGCAGAGTAGAGGCGAGCATGAGGGCAGAGTAGAGACAAACATGAGGGCAGAGTAGAGGCGAGCATGAGGGCAGAGTACAGGCGAGCATGAGAAAATAATACAGGCGAGCATGAGGGCAGAGTAGAGGCGAGCATGAGGGCAGAGAAGAGGCGAGCATGAGGGCAGAGTAGAGGCGAGCATGAGGGCAGAGTAGAGGCGAGCATGAGGGCAGAGTAGAGGCGAGCATGAGGGCAGAGTAGAGGCGAGCATGAGGGCAGAGTAGAGGCGAGCATGAGGGCAGAGTACAGGCGAGCATGAGGGCAGAGTACAGGCGAGCATGAGGGCAGAGTAGAGACGAGCATGAGGGCAGAGTAGAGACGAGCATGAGGGCAGAGTAGAGGCGAGCATGAGGGCAGAGTAGAGGCGAGCATGAGGGCAGAGTAGAGGCGAGCATGAGGGCAGAGTACAGGCGAGCATGAGGGCAGAGTAGAGGCGAGCATGAGGGTAGAGTAGAGGCGAGCATGAGAAAATAATACAGGCGAGCATGAGGGCAGAGTAGAGGCGAGCATGAGGGCAGAGTAGAGGCGAGCATGAGGGCAGAGTAGAGGCGAGCATGAGGGCAGAGTAGAGGCGAGCATGAGAAAATAATACAGGCGAGCATGAGGGCAGAGTAGAGGCGAGCATGAGGGCAGAGTAGAGGTGAGCATGAGGGCAGAGTAGAGGCGAGCATGAGGGCAGAGTAGAGGCGAGCATGAGGGCAGAGTAGAGGCGAGCATGAGGGCAGAGTACAGGCGAGCATGAGGGCAGAGTAGAGGCGAGCATGAGGGCAGAGTACAGGCGAGCATGAGAAAATAATACAGGCGAGCATGAGGGCAGAGTACAGGCGAGCATGAGGGTAGAGTAGAGGCGAGCATGAGGGCAGAGTAGAGGCGAGCATGAGGGCAGAGTACAGGTGAGCATGAGGGCAGAGTAGAGGCGAGCATGAGGGCAGAGTACAGGCGAGCATGAGGGCAGAGTAGAGGCGAGCATGAGGGCAGAGTAGAGGCGAGCATGAGGGCAGGGTAGAGGCGAGCATGAGGGCAGAGTAGAGGCGAGCATGAGGGCAGAGTAGAGGCGAGCATGAGGGCAGAGTACAGGCGAGCATGAGGGCAGAGTAGAGGCGAGCATGAGGGCAGAGTACAGGCGAGCATGAGAAAATAATACAGGCGAGCATGAGGGCAGAGTACAGGCGAGCATGAGGGTAGAGTAGAGGCGAGCATGAGGGCAGAGTAGAGGCGAGCATGAGGGCAGAGTACAGGTGAGCATGAGGGCAGAGTAGAGGCGAGCATGAGGGCAGAGTACAGGCGAGCATGAGGGCAGAGTAGAGGCGAGCATGAGGGCAGAGTAGAGGCGAGCATGAGAAAATAATACAGGCGAGCATGAGGGCAGAGTAGAGGCGAGCATGAGGGCAGAGTACAGGCGAGCATGAGGGTAGAGTAGAGGCGGGCATGAGGGCAGAGTACAGGCGAGCATGATGGCTGAGTAGAGGCGAGCATGAGGGCAGAGTACAGGCGAGCATGAGGGCAGAGTAGAGGCGAGTATGAGGGCAGAGTAGAGACGAGCATGAGGGCAGAGTAGAGGCGAGCATGAGGGCAGAGTAGAGACGAGCAAGAGGGCAGAGTAGAGGCGAGCATGAGGGCAGAGTAGAGGCGAGCATGAGGGCAGAGTACAGGTGAGCATGAGGGCAGAGTAGAGGCGAGCATGAGGGCAGAGTAGAGGCGAGCATGAGGGCAGAGTACAGGCGAGCATGAGGGCAGAGTAGAGGCGAGCATGAGGGCAGAGTAGAGACAAACATGAGGGCAGAGTAGAGGCGAGCATGAGGGCAGAGTACAGGCGAGCATGAGAAAATAATACAGGCGAGCATGAGGGCAGAGTAGAGGCGAGCATGAGGGCAGAGTAGAGGCGAGCATGAGGGCAGAGTACAGGCGAGCATGAGGGCAGAGTAGAGGCGAGCATGAGGGCAGAGTAGAGGCGAGCATGAGGGCAGAGTACAGGCGAGCATGAGGGCAGAGTAGAGGCGAGCATGAGGGCAGAGTAGAGACAAACATGAGGGCAGAGTAGAGGCGAGCATGAGGGCAGAGTACAGGCGAGCATGAGAAAATAATACAGGCGAGCATGAGGGCAGAGTAGAGGCGAGCATGAGGGCAGAGTAGAGGCGAGCATGAGGGCAGAGTAGAGGCGAGCATGAGGGCAGAGTAGAGGCGAGCATGAGGGCAGAGTAGAGGCGAGCATGAGGGCAGAGTACAGGCGAGCATGAGGGCAGAGTAGAGGCGAGCATGAGGGCAGAGTACAGGCGAGCATGAGGGCAGAGTACAGGCGAGCATGAGGGCAGAGTAGAGACGAGCATGAGGGCAGAGTAGAGACGAGCATGAGGGCAGAGTAGAGGCGAGCATGAGGGCAGAGTAGAGGCAAGCATGAGGGCAGAGTAGAGGCGAGCATGAGGGCAGAGTACAGGCGAGCATAAGGGCAGAGTAGAGGCGAGCATGAGGGCAGAGTAGAGGCGAGCATGAGGGCAGAGTAGAGGCGAGCATGAGGGCAGAGTAGAGGCAAGCATGAGGGCAGAGTAGAGGCGAGCATGAGGGCAGAGTACAGGCGAGCATGAGGGCAGAGTAGAGGCGAGCATGAGGGCAGAGTAGAGGCGAGCATGAGAAAATAATACAGGCGAGCATGAGGGCAGAGTAGAGGCGAGCATGAGGGCAGAGTAGAGGCGAGCATGAGGGCAGAGTAGAGGCGAGCATGAGGGCAGAGTAGAGGCGAGCATGAGAAAATAATACAGGCGAGCATGAGGGCAGAGTAGAGGCGAGCATGAGGGCAGAGTAGAGGTGAGCATGAGGGCAGAGTAGAGGCGAGCATGAGGGCAGAGTAGAGGCGAGCATGAGGGCAGAGTACAGGCGAGCATGAGGGCAGAGTAGAGGCGAGCATGAGGGCAGAGTAGAGGCGAGCATGAGGGCAGAGTAGAGGCGAGCATGAGAAAATAATACAAGCGAGCATGAGGGCAGAGTAGAGGCGAGCATGAGGGCAGAGTAGAGGCGAGCATGAGGGCAGAGTACAGGCGAGCATGAGGGCAGAGTAGAGGCGAGCATGAGGGCAGAGTAGAGGCGAGCATGAGAAAATAATACAGGCGAGCATGAGGGCAGAGTAGAGGCGAGCATGAGGGCAGAGTAGAGGCGAGCATGAGGGCAGAGTAGAGGCGAGCATGAGGGCAGAGTAGAGGCGAGCATGAGAAAATAATACAGGCGAGCATGAGGGCAGAGTAGAGGCGAGCATGAGGGCAGAGTAGAGGTGAGCATGAGGGCAGAGTAGAGGCGAGCATGAGAGCAGAGTAGAGGCGAGCATGAGGGCAGAGTACAGTCGAGCATGAGGGCAGAGTAGAGGCGAGCATGAGGGCAGAGTAGAGGCGAGCATGAGGGCAGAGTACAGGCGAGCATGAGGGCAGAGTAGAGGCGAGCATGAGGGCAGAGTAGAGGCGAGCATGAGGGCAGAGTAGAGGCGAGCATGAGAAAATAATACAAGCGAGCATGAGGGCAGAGTAGAGGCGAGCATGAGGGCAGAGTAGAGGCGAGCATGAGGGCAGAGTACAGGCGAGCATGAGGGCAGAGTAGAGGCGAGCATGAGGGCAGAGTAGAGGCGAGCATGAGGGCAGAGTACAGGCGAGCATGAGGGCAGAGTAGAGGCGAGCATGAGGGCAGAGTAGAGGCGAGCATGAGGGCAGAGTAGAGGCGAGCATGAGGGCAGAGTAGAGGCGAGCATGAGAAAATAATACAAGCGAGCATGAGGGCAGAGTAGAGGCGAGCATGAGGGCAGAGTACAGGCGAGCATGAGGGCAGAGTACAGGCGAGCATGAGGGCAGAGTAGAGGCGAGCATGAGGGCAGAGTAGAGGCGAGCATGAGGGCAGAGTAGAGGCGAGCATGAGGGCAGAGTAGAGGCGAGCATGAGGGCAGAGTAGAGGCGAGCATGAGAAAATAATACAAGCGAGCATGAGGGCAGAGTAGAGGCGAGCATGAGGGCAGAGTAGAGGCGAGCATGAGGGCAGAGTACAGGCGAGCATGAGGGCAGAGTAGAGGCGAGCATGAGGGCAGAGTAGAGGCGAGCATGAGGGCAGAGTACAGGCGAGCATGAGGGCAGAGTAGAGGCGAGCATGAGGGCAGAGTAGAGGCGAGCATGAGGGCAGAGTAGAGGCGAGCATGAGGGCAGAGTAGAGGCGAGCATGAGAAAATAATACAAGCGAGCATGAGGGCAGAGTAGAGGCGAGCATGAGGGCAGAGTACAGGCGAGCATGAGGGCAGAGTACAGGCGAGCATGAGGGCAGAGTAGAGGCGAGCATGAGGACAGAGTAGAGGCGAGCATGAGGGCAGAGTACAGGCGAGCATGAGGGCAGAGTAGAGGCGAGCATGAGGGCAGAGTACAGGCGAGCATGAGGGTAGAGTAGAGGCGAGCATGAGGGCAGAGTAGAGGCGAGCATGAGGGCAGAGTACAGGCGAGCATGAGGGCAGAGTACAGGCGAGCATGAGGGCAGAGTAGAGGCGAGCATGAGGGCAGAGTAAAGGCGAGCATGAGAAAATAATACAGGCGAGCATGAGGGCAGAGTACAGGCGAGCATGAGGGTAGAGTAGAGGCGAGCATGAGGGCAGAGTAGAGGCGAGCATGAGGGCAGAGTACAGGTGAGCATGAGGGCAGAGTAGAGGCGAGCATGAGGGCAGAGTACAGGCGAGCATGAGGGCAGAGTAGAGGCGAGCATGAGGGCAGAGTAGAGGCGAGCATGAGGGCAGAGTAGAGGCGAGCATGAGGGCAGAGTAGAGGCGAGCATGAGGGAGATGGATTGGAAGTGAAGAAGGGTTGAGGGGCTCTCACTCGGTCCGCGGGGCCACAGCAGCCATGCGACCACCGCGGCCAGCAGGGAGAAGCCAGCAAAGCAGCCCAGAACAATGCCAACTATGGCACCCGTTGACAGAGACGACACTGCCATGGAATGGGACGTAAAGGAGAATTGTGGCGGTTAGGGGGTGTTGTCGAGGCGAAGAAAGGAGTGATAATGACAACAGCCAGATGAGTTTTGAGACGTCTTTAGGAACACAGGCTCATAGACAGAGATGACACTGCCAAGGCAAGGAATGGAAATGGGCCGGTGATACGCGTGTGTATAGCAGAAGCTACTTGAAACGTAGCTATTGGTGCAGAACATAGGAATGATGTAGCAGTATGGAGCTGTAAGAAGGAATCAAGGGTTACCAGTTGTGGTGGAGGGTTACCAGTGGTGGTGCTGGTGGTGGAGTGCACGATGGCGCATGTGGAGGAGCCGTTGCCCGAGTTGACAGTGCTGTACCCGGCATCACAGAGGCACGTGAAGTTGGTGGGGGAGGCGGGGGCAGCCGGCACACACGACCCATGGCCGTCACACGGGCCAAGGTCAGTCATGCTGCAAAACGCCTGGCAGGCTGCCTTGCTGCGCTGGGCGGCGTTGGACGAGCACTTCTTGCTTGGGGTGAGGGTTAGGCAGTTGCCCGACAGACTCACCCTCGCCGTCTTGCCCGACTGCGCCACGGATGAACTTTGAGCAAGATTGCCGCACTTGCCACCATAATTTTGCCATGCAGAGGTGTCCCTTATATACAAGTTGTTGGGCTCGCTGGCTTCGGTGGGGCAGGCCTTGCAGCCGGCAGCAAAGAGCACCCCATCTCCAAAGAAGAAGTTGTGAGCCAAGTTGATGAGGACATTGCCATCCGTCGCTATGTTTTCAAAGTCACGGTTGATGCGCCCATACAGGCTGTTGCCACTCACATCACTGCGGGCAGCACATGAGAATCATGGAGGGCAGAAAATGATATTGAATGTTTGGTTGCAAAATGTCCTACCAGAAGATGATGTCAAAGCTGAGTGCATAATACTGTCGGTGCAATGCCCACATCGAAAGTGCGAGCTCTCATGGATGGTACTGAGAATGGTGTATGCACGGTAGGCTCACATGTGGCTGATGCACGTGTCAAAGAAGCAGTCAGGCAGGGGTCCATAGAGGTAGTTGTTGCTGATCATGCTGCCAGCAGCACAGCACACAACATGCCGAACCGTGGGTCACACACCCATACAGAATGGCAAACACACAAAAGTGAAACTATTTCCCCAAACATCCCATCCATCAGCTATTACACCCATACATTTCAACAATCTCCAAAATCATGAAAACATGAGGAGTAAGTCCCTCGGCTGGCAAAAACATTAAATTTAAAAAAAAGAAAAAAAAATCATGTGTTGCTCACAAGCGCCACAGCCAGGGCAGCGAGCACAGGACAGTTGGCAGAGGGCCTTCAATCTTGTTGTTGTCCAACCAGCTGGGTGAGCAGACAGAGCAGTGGCAGGAATGAAGGCGGGAATGGTTGCATAAAGAGCAGGGGGTGGAGTGGGGATGACACAGGTGATGTTTGCGTGTTTTGGTCTTTTGTATTCATTTCATGGTGTGGAAGTTTGCTAGGTTTCGTATAGAACCGACGTATTACAAGCTTGTGCTTGTGATGCCTGTATGTTGTTTGAAAAATGTATGAGGAAAGCACATAGCACCCTTACATCTGTTCAAGATTCTCCAGTCGACTGATGGCATCTGGTAGACTGCCACTCAGATGGTTGTTGGCCAAGTAGCTGGCGGGCAATGGCAATGGCAGGGGGAGAGAGCGATGTATTTGAAGGGTAATAGAAATGACAGGGGGAGACAGCAAGGAGTAGCTGAAGAGCAATAGCTGAAGTAGCGGAAGAGCAAGAGCTATGGCAGGGAGATATTCCAATGAGAAGCAGCGAATGCAAGAGGAGTGCAGGTTGGTGCAGGAGTACCACCGGGCAGAGGTAGGAACATGTGATGGGCATATCGAAAGGGGATCCCTAATCACATGAGGCTTACATGTATGTCAGATTCCTCATGGTGAAGATGGCTGAAGGGATGGTGCCAGTTAGCAGGTTGTTGTTGAGAAAACTGCAGAGCAGGGAATAGCAACGGGGTACATTGGTTGGAAGTGCAAATCAAGCATATGTAGATGCGTGTGCGCATAGGCTGCCACTGCTACCTTTCTCCTGCCATTGGCTGCATGCCACTACAAAGGTTCGACGGTGACTTTTGTACACGACATCCCACCTTGTTCAGATGGGAATAGCTCCATGAGTATGTGCTCATGGCAGGCATTATGGCTTGTTGTGGCACAAGAAGAGAAGCCTCACATGCCAATGAGGTTGGTGAGGGTGGAGATGGAGTCGGGGATCGACCCTGTGAAGTTGTTGCCGCTGAGATTTCTGCGCCACAACACAGGCGAGGCAGCAGCGAGATAGCCTCTCGTGAGTGGGGTGAACGCAACAGCTTACTGTGGGTGCAATGCACTATATGCGAAAATGAGCATTTGAACCAACCCGACCTGGCCCGATTTGGGCCAGCCGGGCGGGTACTGGGTCGGGTCAGCTCCATTCTTCCCGGGTTGGGGTTTCCATAAACCCGACCCAAAGGACCGGGACAAGCCTGGCAAGCCCCCGGGTCAGGTACAGAAACCTGCTTTCACCCACGCTCTGCACGGATCTGGCAACGGAATGCGAGTATGATTTGCATCCATCGACTTTTGACAATTTATATCTTGTTTTTTTTTTAATTAATATTATTTGAAAATTTCAGTCGAAGTTTTTCACCAAGATACAATACTTTTCCAGACCAAAATTATCAAAAGTTGGTTGAAACATCGTACGTGATTTTTTCGCCCAAAATATGAAATAAAACGGCACAATTTTGCACCCTGGTGGTGCTAAGGCCAAGATTGAGCAAGCGTTGTTTAGAGTGGGAAAAGGAGGAAAAGAGCGTTAGAAGGCTTATTTACATCTGTTCACAGCTGACGTTCCAACGTGAGAAGTCTGGTAAGGAGCCCGTGAAGTCATTTCCTCCCAGACCACTGCCCAATTCAAAGGGAGACGAAGATTCCAGGGGCATGAAAGTTAACCACGAAGAGACAGTATTGCACCAGGCACACACAATGGTGGCGACACACACAGTGGTGGCAGCACACAGTGGTTCTTCTTACAGCATGCGAAGAGAATGTGAGACTGTGAGAGTCCGTGGGAGTTCCCCAGAAAGAGAGTTGTTGAATAGATCCCTGCGTTCGGAAATTAAAGGGAAGGCTGGATGCAGCAGTTGGAAAACCAAGCATACTGCCAACCAAAGCACATGAATGCATTGTGACCTCTACGAAACGGCTTATGAGTCAACTCAAATGCATTCATTCATGTGCTTTGGCACTCAAAAATTGACTCATCACACATGAATGCACCGTGGCATCGGCTAGGCCGACAACAATCTTGAGGGATGCTTGAGAGGTGCAGGTAGAAACATCCAAAGCAGGTAGCATGCAACCTCCTGATATGGTGTTTGGCAGTGGAGCACAGTACTTGCAAAATACCATTTGACATATCAGGGATAATAGTATCTACTTTTGTATCCATACTCAGACCTTCACCCTTTCTTTCATTGAGAGAAAGACAAGGTGGAATGAAAAGAATCTTCTGAAACAAGTGTACTGGGGCTACTTACAGCCAGTACAAGTTGGGTAGCCGAAGTAGGCCGGACGGGATGGTTCCATGGAAATTGTTGCTGCTGAGATATCTGCACAATAGTATCAAGAGACTCAAATTTACCTCAGATATTCAAGCACAAGGCTAAACAGATCCTCAACCCTGCTACAGCTTGCAGCAGTGCAACTTACATGCCACTCAGGTAGACAAGCTTGGTCAA